TCCGGCCCGCGGCACCCTGCCCCCACGCCTCCGCGCCAGGGGGCGTGGCCAGCCCCAGGCCAGGTTGCTAGAAGGGGCGTGGACTTTTTCAGAAGTAGGCTGGCCCTCAAATAATGGTGAGGTGGGTGGGGCAGGGCACCTCCTGCAGGGCTACAGGAGGAGTCTGTTTTCCTGCTGCAGCAAAGGCGCAAGGCGCTGTCATTACTGTAGGGTCTCCCGCGACCCAAACTCCGTTGTCCCCCCCTTAGCATGTGCCCCTAGATCCCTCCCCGCCCCCAATTCCTGCCATCCACCCTACAAGTGCAAACCATGCAACTGCTCTCCTACGCCAGCCTTGGTCACCTCCAATCATCCCTCTGATCTTGAAATAATTCCTCCCCGTCTCCCCACCCCACACGTCCAGGCAGCCAGGAACAGATTCCTTCAAACCCCAAAGCTACCGTGACCTTGCATGCAAACCCCTTCCCCTCTCGGCGTGGTCTGCTCCCACCCTGCTCAAAGTGGGTCTGAAAAAATGACAGGGGGTGTCGACTGTAATTGGGGAGCAGCCGTTTTGCTAAGACAGTCGCCCCCCACTCTCTGCCTTGCAACCCCCCCTTTAAGAATGGCACCCCCATCTCCAGCAAAAGTCCCCCCCCCCAGGAGCACACACGGCTGCGCGGACCCACACGCCCCCAGCAACGCCGAGGACGGGCGGCCGTCTGCTTTCCGTCGGGGGGGAGCCGGAGCACGCGGTGTGCTCAGCTTTATATCTCATTCTCTTTTACTCTCCTGCTCCGTATAAATCTTTGAAAGGTTCCCCAGATAAAAGCCAAGCGGACGGACATCAAATGAGCTGGAAGGCGACTGAAGATTCCTTTTCCTTTCTCACCGCCCACCAGTCTCCTGGACGCCAGCTCTTCCGCCTGGCCCTGGGGTGGGTTTGTGTGTGCGCGTGCAGGGCGCGGGGGTGTGTGTTCATCTACAGTTAGCGGGGACCAGGTGAGACTGCCTGAATGCCAAGCCAGCACAGAGGCTGGGCTCCTACCATCCCAGGGGTGGCAGAGGGCTTGGGAGGGTGGGGAGGGAAAGACAAGAGGGAAAAGGAAGGAAGAGAGAGAAAGAGGAGAAAAAGAAAGGAGGGAGGAAGAGGAAAGGGGAGCAAGGGATTGGAGAAGAGAGAAGGGAAGACAAAGAGTGGGGGTGGGAGGTCTAGTGGTTAGAGCAAAGAGGGTGGGGTACCAGGACTTATGGGTTCCACTCCCAGCTCTGGGACGGGAGTAGAGTCTAGTGGTTAGAGCAGGGGGGAGACCTGGCCTTTAGGATTGCCGGTTCGTTTCACAGCGGCAGAGAACTGGGGAGGGATCAAGCAAGAGAAGCCCCTTTACCGGGCTCAGAGGCCTCGATCAGGGAGGAGGTGCAGGAGGAGGAAGAGCTGGCCCCGGTGAGGCCGGGGGGTTTCTGGCTCGCCGGCGGGGGCCTGACGGCACTGAGAGGCGGCTTGAGCCCCAGCTGCTCAGCAACCTCGGGGTGGTCTCCGGGATGGATGTAGTCGAAGACGCTGCTGCCCGTCAGCTCCACCTGGAAGGCAACAGAGATGGGAGCGGGGGCGGATCAGCCGTGCCCCTGACACCTCTTAGGGGCATCAAGAAGCTGGCCGGGGTCCCTTCCTGTACCCTAGCCCCAGCTGGGACTCGTGCCTGGTGCATCTGCCACCAAGCCGGGTGATGGACCCCAACAGCCCTCGTCTGAGTCACCCAGTTTCCCCCTCCCCACCCGGCTACGCTAGGCTCCGGCGCCGCCCTTTCAGCAGAGAGATGGGGCGTGAGCTGCAGGCTGGGGGGGCGCTCGGGGCCAGGGGCTGCAGCCTTCTGTTTGTACAGCCCCTAGCACCTCGGGCTCCTAGGCGCTACCATAATACACCTAATAGCAATTAAAATGGACAGCACCGGGCACCGTGGGGCCTGGTCTGCGAATTTCCGTAATCGCGGTAAAAATGTGCAGCGCCAGGCGCAGTGGTGGCCTAGTCCATGGCAGACTCCTGGCTGAATAAGGAATAATGGGAGGGGGGGCGGATGGAGGTGGGGGCCCCAGCAAACACCTCCCGACCAGACAGCGCTGCTGCCTTACAGGCAGCCTTCTCCTGGCGTGGGCTGGGCTCTTGCATTAGCTCAGGCCTGGGCGTGGCTCGCTGACTCTCCACGGGGGCACCCCCCCCTTGCGAAGGCACAAGCCCAGTGGACCACGTGCCCCCTTGTAAGGTGCGAATGCCACGCCGCCGGCCCCCCCGTCCCG